GTCTACATTTTAGAAAATTCTACAAATTGCACACTGACAGATGGGCTTCTAGGTCAGCAACCGAAAGACTCTCCACACAGGCAGGTTTGATTTGTTAGAATTTAGAGTGTGTAACACTTATGTCAAGATACAGCTCTCTTTCCTCTGCTTCTGAACAAGACATTCTGATCTGGAAAGTCTATATTGAGACTTCATTATCTTTTTTGTTTGTTTGTTTTTGTTTTCGTTTTTTGTTTTTCGAGACAGGGTTTCTCTGTGTAGTTTTTGGTGCCTGTCCTGGAACTCACTTTGTAGCCCAGGCTAGCCTCGAACTCACAGAGATCCGCCTGGCTCTGCCTCCCGAGTGCTGGGATTAAAGGCGTGCGCCACCACCGCCCGGCGAGACTTCATTATCTTAAGAGCCATCAGAGAGTTTCCTCTGAGCCCTAGGACCCAGGACTAGTGAGCCAGGGTGCTTCTTCCTGACTCCTGTAAGTCTGGGGCTACTATTGTCATTAGTGAGGTTTATATGTACTGTTGCTGTTGCCGTGGACATGAATGCATGAACTCATAGCCTGGCATACACATGCACATGTAAACTGCAAATACATGTATACACATGTGCACACAAATATAGATGTGAGCATTCATAAGCACATAAATACACTTGTACATATATTCACAGTGTGGTACATACACATGTATTTAGTCATATGGCACTTGTGCCCAAGTCGTCCTGATGCCTTTCCATTGTCTCTACAAACAATCATTTCTTCTCTTTTATTGAAGAAAATGTTTTCATACAATATATTCTGATCACAGTTTCCCCCTAACTCCTCCCAGGTCCTCCCCACCTTCCCACCTACCCAACTCCACACCCTTTCTTTCTCTCTCCTTAGAAAACAAACAGGATAAAAAGAAAAATCACAAGAAACACACAGACACATAAAAATAAAACCCATAAAAACACAAGATCAGCTCATTCTTGAAGCAGTCTTGGACTGATCTATTAGTTGGACTTCCTGGCTCTGCTTCCCCACCCCCTCCCAGACAACCCATACCTTCTGTAATGATCACAGCTTTCTCCTGGCTGCCTCTGTATGCTCAGGAGCCCTCTGTACTTCTCAGTGGTCCTTGGAAACACAGATTGGAGTCAATAGGGTGCCTCTTAGAAAGAGCAAGTTTCACAACTCAGGAGCTGCATTCACACAGTATTCGAGCTCCTGTGTCCTCCCCCCCTCCCCAGCCACTCATTGTCACAGAAACAACGTCAGACCTTGGTCTTCATTCCCAAGTGAGAAGTCAATAGATCCAAAGTATGACTGTTTTAACAACCATTCTCTGGAAAGCAAAACCAGCCTACATTTTCCACAGAGCTATCAGATGGCCCATATTTCAGTGCCTTTATTAGTTTTGGAGAGGATCAAAACCAACCAACCAACAGGAACAAAACAAAAGAAACAAAAAACCAAAAACACAAGACAGAGGGTGAGGAGATAGCTCGGCCAGTAAAACGCTTGCTATATAAACATGAAGACCTGCATTCCACCCCAGAACCCCGGTAAGAAAGCCAGGCCCGGTGCTCACACTGTAGAGGCAGCACTGGCGAGGTGGACACAGGCAGACACCTGTGGCTCACTGGCCGGATAACCTTGTGTATGTAGCAGATACCAGGTCAGTGAAAGATCCCACCTGAAAGAAAGGCCAATGGCACCTGAGGACGGACACCCAAGGTTGACCTCTGGCCTCCAAATGCTCACACACATATACCTGAAAACACATGTTCAACACACGCACACACATGGGGTGGGAGAGAGAGAGAGAGCCCAAAAATCCAGAACAAAATTTTGCTAACTTTGTGCTTTGAATTTTCTTTTTCCTTTCTTATTTTTTTTAAGATTGACATTTTTTTTTTATTATTTGTGTGAGTGTTGGGGGATAGATGTACATGAGTGCTGTACCCTAGGAGGCTGGAGACCAGAGGGCTAGGATCCCCTGAAACTGAAATTACAGGCAGTTGTGAGGTGCTATGTGGGTGCTGGGAATCAAACCTGTGTCCTCTGGAAGAGCAGCAAGTGCTCTTAACTGCTGAGCCATCTCTCAAGACCCTATGCTTTGAATTTTTAATTCTTGGATTACGAATAACACTGAGCACATTTTGTCTTCACTGCCTATTCATATTTCTTCCTCTATGATCTGAACTTTGACTGGCTATCCTTATTTCTCCTTCAGTATAACCCTTTTTCCTAACAAGCACGGACAGATCATCTGTTCTATCGGTATCATGCAACCACATGGTAGAGCACAGAAAGCACCTGGAATTTCAGTGGACAATTGGCAATAGATAGGAAGGAGCCAGCTGCCTGGTGCCAGCCTTCAGTAGTACAATGGAGCTGGAAACAGTGGTACACACATGTAGTCCTAGCTCCTCAGGAGGCTGAGGCAGGAGGATCACAGAATGAAGACCTGACTGAGCTACAAAATGAGCTCAGGTCCAGCCTGGGAAACTTAGCCAGTCTAAAAACAAAAAAATAAATAAATAAATAAATAATAGAAGAGCTTGGATGTAGCTTAGTGGTAGAGTACTTCCCTTGTATGCATGAAGCCCTAAGTTAATATCCAGTAATCAACCCCCCTCCCAAAAAAAGAAGTAAAAGCTATAAGCTGAAATCTAGCCGCCGGAGATTGCAGCCTGACTTCCCACCTACCTGCTGTGTGAGTGATGTTAGGCACATGACTTAACCTCTTGGGGCCTCAATACCCTTCAGTGAGATAGAGATGAAAATACAATCTATGTAATAGAGCTGTGCGAAGAATCAAAGGCCAAGCACGTGACGCAGCTTCCGGCCCACAGCACTTTCAAAAACACGATGCTTTTAGGAATTCTTTGACAATTGCATACAATGTATTTTGATTATTCTCACTCCCAGTTTTCCTCACAACTCCCCCCAGAACCCCCCACCCCCACCCTCCTTACCCACCCCCAACTTTATACGCGCTTGCTTGTGTTCTCCCTTCCCACTTGCTCTCTCACTCACTCAGAAACACCAAGTCCCGTTTGCACTTCCGCATACTCACGGGTGTAAGCTGTGGGCTGGAGCGTGGGTGACCTACCAGGGGCCACACCCTTAAAGAAAACAGACTCTCTCTTCCCCAGAAGCCATCAGCTGTCAATAGCTTCTCAGTTAGGGGTGGAGGGGGCGGTGAGCTCCTCTCTCTCTTGCTGGAATGTTGCCTGGCTTGGTCTTGCGCAGGTGACCATAGCTACTATGGGTTCGAGTCCTGGCATGTCCAGGACTCCCCGTGAATGCTCCAGTCCTCTCTGAATTCTGGCTCTTAGACTCTTTCCACCCATCTTCCAACACAATACAATGCGATGGTATACATGTCCCGTTTGTGGCAGAGAACGCCACTGACATTGACTCTCTGCACTTTGGTTAGTCACACAGCACTTCTTCATTACTGAGTATGACTGCAGCTACTGTGGCCATTTAAATGGTCGTAAACTTATGAACTTCCTTGTCCTATCTTGCATTTCTTCCCTTGTTCTCCAGGAGCCTTCTGGAAGACATAAGATGTGATAGTAAAGAAACCCAGCAGTTAGCAAAAAAAAAAAAAAAAAATTTCATAATGGATAGAAAACATAGCACACTGCTTCTCCTTTCCTTCCCTGGGAAAAAGTTTATCTCACCTGCTTCTTCCCATTGACCCAGATGAACCTGCATACATGAAGGAGAATCCTGAAAAAGCTCTTGAATTCACTCTAGCTATACCAAATATTGGTGTTGGTTAAGAGAGTTTATGATTCCAAAACATTTTCTCCCATCCCACCTCTTCTAATGATCTTCTAGTTGAGGTTGATTTGAGGGATATATATCACGTTGTATGTGTATTTGCATGTATATGGTGAGGAATATATTTTAGAGAGAACCCTAATATCAAATAGGTTTGTTAAAGTTCTCATTGAAGCATGTTGGCTATGTTAAGTGATGCTTGCGTGGATAGGGAGGCTGAGAAGGCATACGTGTGGGTCCCAGGGTTTTGACTTAACCACCACCCATAATGTAAAGGAATATTTTAGAGGGCTAGATAATTTTCCATGGAACATTTTCCAGAAGTGTTGCCTTACAGAAAATGGAAAAGTTTTTCAAGAGTCAGGCAACTGAGTCAGGCTTTTTTTCTTTTTGATGGCCAGAGTTTTTGGTGACTAGATTAAAGAAAGAATATTTAAATTTGTATAAGATGTTATGTATATATGAAAGAAAATAGACATTTTTATTGCTCTACCAAATGGGATGATTTGTGTTTCCAATGAAAGAAGCATATTTTAAATGCTTTATAAAAATATTAAATATCCCACCCTATATAAATCTCTAATGAGATACTCATTTGGGGAATTTTATCAAAGAGGAGACTTCCTGAGTCTGTCCAAGATAGGTAAGAATTGGAGAGCCCAGAAGCAGTGGGTCTTCAACGGTGCCCCCCTCCTCCCATGAGAGCCCAGAAGCAGTGGGTCTTCAACGGTGCCCCCCTCCCCCTCCTCCCATGAGAGCCCAGAAGCAGTGGGTCTTCAACGGTGCCCCCCTCCTCCTCCCATGAGAGCCCAGAAACAGTGGGTCTTCAATAGTACCCTCCCCCTCCCTCCCATGAGAGCCCAGAAACAGTGGGTCTTCAATAGTACCCTCCCCCTCCCTCCCATGAGAGCCCAGAAGCAGTGGGTCTTCAACGGTGCCCTCCCCCTCCCTCCCATGAGAGCCCAGAAGCAGTGGGTCTTCAACGGTGCCCTCCCCCTCCCATGAGAGCCCAGAAGCAGTGGGTCTTCAACGGTGCCCTCCCCCCACTCCTCCCATGAACTTCTTTTGATGGTAACCTTGGTGACACCCGTCTCTTCTCTAAATTGTTTCATCTCTCCTACTTAAAAGAAGTGTGAATGTAACAATCCTAACTTCTCTTCTCTCTTCTTCCCTTCTTCCTTCTCCTTCTCCATTTCCCTGCCCCATGTTTCCTCCCCTGTTCTCCAGGAACCTTCTGCATCATCTCACTGTGCACCTGTGTGGCTGGGATCAACTTTGAGTTATCACGTTACCCACGCTACCTATATGGACTTCCAGATGACATCAGCCACGGCTATGGATGGTCCATGTTCTGTGCATGGGGGGGCCTGGGCCTCACACTAATCTCGGGATTCTTCTGTACCTTGGCCCCCTCTGTCCAACCTGTCCCGAGGACCAACTGCCCTAAATCCAGACCAGAAAATGGGACAGTGTGCTAAAAAAAAAACAAAACCATACATATATATATATAAATATATATATAATATACATATATAAAATGAAACTCAATCAAGATGATGCCAGTGCCAAGGTAGAGTTGAGTTGGCTCAGGCACCTGCATCTCATCAGACTTTGTGTTGCCTCATCTCCAAGATGGGAAGGGTGTTCCCATCCTGTGGCTCTCTCATCAGTTCTTGACTTTGGCTTCATGATTTCTTCAAGACAGAGTGAAAGCCATCACCACCTGCGGTAGCATCTTGACCCCTGTCACTCATAAGGATGCGGTGGTGAACTGGAAGGGACAGAGGCAGTGGTCTGGAGCAACACAGATACAGAGAAGAAAGTGCTACACTCTGGGCCAGCAGGAAAGGCCACCGCCACCCCAGCCATCATATCATGGGGAAACTCAGTCCCTCGAGCTCATAGAATGTAACCACATCTTTGAGGCCATTTTCAGAACCACTTCTCTGCTCCTCCTGTTCTGAGCTCCTTCCCAGCCCACCAGCGACACACCAAGAGTGGGAGAGAAAACAGACTGAGAAGGAAGTTTTCTCTTTGTGGCCAAACCGTCGGACAATGTCTTAGAGGTGGGAAGGGGAGAGAACATGCTGAGAGGCAAGATCAGCATCAACAAAAGGACATTTCAGTGGATGCTCGGAAAACCCAGTCTTACCTTCCAGCTGCCTTACACCCAGTTAAACGAGAGGCCACCTTGTCCTCCCCTGCCTGCGCTCTCTGGGCAGATGGAGCCTTCGAGCAATGCTGTGATATGTGTGTGAGTGTGTGTGTGCGTGCGTGTGTGCGTGTGTGCGTGTGTGCATAGGTTTTGGGTGGTTACCTTTTTCTTTTCCACTCTTTGAATGGAAATATCATCTTATTCTGTTCTCTCTCTCTCTCTCTCTCTCTCTCTCTCTCTCTCTCTCTCTCTCTCTCTCTCTCTCATTACTATTGTTTTTGACCCATTATGGAGGCCTCGAGATCTGGGAATTATCTTGAAGGGCAGGCCTTCATGGGTGCCAGTGCAGCAACTGCAGATCCCTGGAGAGAGACAAAAGTGTGTGTGTGTGTGTGTGTGTGTGTGTGTGTGTGTGTGTGTGTGTGCATGTGTGTGTGTGCGTGTGCCTGCCCATGCACATGTGTATATGTATGCACATGTGGTGGATATTTCCTGAGTGTGGGGTTTTAGTATTTGTGTTGCACTTTTTTTTTTATTATTTCTGGTACAGCTGAAATTCCCAGAGGGCAAAACCACTGGGCCAGAGAACCCTGGGGTACTTCACAGCATGGTTCTGGAACTCCGCAAGATTTAGTCCACTAATTTTGGAAGTTCAAGACACAGCTGGGCACAAAAGTCCTAAGAGAAGAGGGGGAACATGTAGCTCAGGAGAGAGAAGGAATATTGCCTCTGGTTGCTGATGTACAAGAACATATACCAAACAAGACCGTCACTCCCCATTGTGGGGGCTGTCCTTTGTCACTGGACATCTGCTCCTTTTCTAGGGGTGAGCCCTGTACAGATGAAAGGAAATGGGTCACATGCAGAGAGAGCACCTCCATGTCCCATGGGCTCCAGTTTGTATGATATTATGTAAATCAATGGAGAACTCCTGACTCTTTCATTTCTTATCCCTTTCCTCTTGATCTTCAAGACCATGAATCCCAAAATAGCTATCTCTCTTAGTGCTAGCGCCCAGACTGAGGTGGGACAAGGCCATCCGGGTATCTCAGGCTTGCTTGAGCAGATTGGCACTGGGTGCTGGCAAGGGAAGAAGTCAGGCAGAGCTGTGAATGCCACATGGCAGGAGCAGCTCATGGTTACCTTGGGGACCCTGCTGGTGCCAACTGTCCCTGGGGAGGCAAGGAGAGAATCCTGAGCTGGCGCAGCCATGGTCAGCCATGCAGAAGGGGAGCTCAGCTGCTGCAGAACAGATCTGCTTTGGGAACTTTGCCAACCACTCAGCAGCCTTCCTCCCCTAAGTGCTCCACTGTAGCTCCCTGTTCTCAGCCTCTGTTCCTACCAGACTGCTCACCTACTAACAGTTTCCCTGTCCTTCCTCCATCCAATAGGCTGTAGGGCCTGGTCGTCTCATCAGCTCTCTCTCTCTCTCTCTCTCTCTCTCTCTCTCTCTCTCTCTCTCTCTCTCTCTCGTGTGTGTGTGTGTGTGTGTGTGTGTGTGTGTGTGTGTGTGTGTGTACGTACATGTATCTATCAGGGTGTGATATCCAATGGGCTTCAATGTGGGTAACTCTTTGAGTGTGTCTCTCTGGTGCAGTGTGTGTGTGTGTATACCTATATAGAAGTATGGATGCATTTCTCAAGACTCCCTCATCAGGGCCCTGGTCAGATCCTACAGAAGGTCTTACATGTGAGTAGTCCGCGTGCAGGAGTGCCAGGTGAACAGGGGGAAGCTGGGTGTCAGGGAATGCTACTGGCTTCCAACCGAGATTCTAAGGGTTGTTCTTAAGATAAGCAGTGTATTCTATGATAGGGGAAATAATTTTCAGAAAAAAAATCAGTTTTTTTAATTGAGAATTTCCTTTTTCTTTTCCTTTGAAAAGCTAGATTTTTCTCTTGAGGTGAAGGACATACTTGGGATTGGAAAATGAAAGTACCTCAGATTGAGAGGATTTTTGTCTTCCTCCAGGGTATCTTGGCCTGAGCAGGGACAAGTTGGTGTCCATGAACATCTACTTGGGGGCACAGAACTTGTCTGTGATGGAATATTAATTCCAGTTGTTTTCCAGTTGCAAAGAGATGGAGGAAGCTAAGCTAAATGGGACAATTTGCTATCGACTAAACTTTTCTTAAGTAAACTTGTTTGAACATACAAGCTCACAGACCTCCCATTTATGCCCTGTTCTTTTTTTTAATTCATATTCATCATAAACAGATCATCTGCTCTATCCAATTGCCCAACTCTATGACAAACTTTTAATAAAACTTACTGGCTTCCTTTGAAACATGAGCATTCCTGAAATATTAGATGGACTCCCAGGAAGAAGATAGATTCTCTGGCTCAGTTTATTCAACACACCATTAGTAGAGCAGGACCTTAAAGTAACCTTCTCGCTCTATCAACCAGACAGGTGCAGGTACACACATCCTGGGGTCTGTACTGCTTAGCAACAAAAACAAGCTCCGACACCTGATCAGGACAGAAGTCTCCACAATGATAGCTGATAGATAGCAATCTCTGTCCGGGTGACCTGATCCTTCCATCACAGGGGATGGACCACTGGTTAAAGGGAGCCCCTCTCAGGCAGTTTCTGGAGCTTTCTGGCTGTGAGGTGGCTAGGGAATGAGTACAAGAGAGAGCATAGAAGGAGCCTTGGTTTGTGAAGCACTCTAGTTCAGACTCCACTAACTCTAAATCATACACTCCAACCTTCTGAGGGGACTGAGAGCCAGTGACCTCTGCAAGACCCCCAGTTCCTACCCAGGTCAAGTTCAAATTCTTTTAGCTGTGTGTCTACAAGGAACATGACTGCACATGCTGTGGGCTCTGTGCAAATGAGCAGTGTGAGAGCAGTTTCAACGTTCACTTCCCTTGATCTCTCCTAGACTGGAGATTTGGGAACACTGGGGGTCTAGCTGCGAGTAAGTACAATTTCTTTTCCTCGTTTGGAAGTTATGGCTCTTTTTCTGCTTTCTTCTGCCTACGGCTTTCCTTATGATCAGTTTGTGACAGTCGCCTTCTGAAGGAGGAGAGGGACTTCAAGCACCCCTCTCCTTGTTCACCATGGCCCAAGGTCTCACAAGGATGTGTGTGGCTCACTGACATCAAAATATAAGAAAGAAAATGTCTGTTTCAGCTTCAGTCACCTGAACAGTCTTTCAGCAGTCCTCTTTGTCACCTCTAGAAATCCTGAAAGCATAATTAGACAGCTCCACCAGATCAAAGATCTTTGGCCTCAGGTCCCTGAGTGGTGCCCTGGGCCCTGGCACTGTGCTGGTATATTTTCCCTCTGTCCAGGGTTCTATCCAAGTATGTCACTTTTCCACCATAGGAGAGGGTACCCTGAGACTTTACATCTCCTTGGTCATCCATATACATAGTAAGAGACCTAACAGGAAAAGGTCGCATGTGTCTTCCTGACTTCAGGAAGATGTGCCATTTAGGTCTCCAGTGCTGCCCACCTAATAAAATTCGGAATAATGAAGTTAAACTCATGGCTCAGAACATTTGGCTTCAACTGTCTTAGTCTGGGAACATCCATCCACTGACTTTCAATCATGTAGTGGAAGAAGTGGGGATAGACCCAGACACCCTCTGTCTTTGTTTATGTGGACTATTGGTTGCTTCTCCTAGTTCAAGGGAATCTTCTTTTCTGAACATGTCTCTGCTGCGCCTGGGCTGAGTTGCCCCAGCGAGCACATCTATCCCTCCCCAGGGAAAAAGGATAAGTCAGAAGAACTGATAACACACATAGTAACAGGGAAGCACATCTCAGCTGGACCAGCCTTGGTGCTGTCTTCCGGCTCATGGAGACAGAGGAAAGGGACAGGTTTTTCTTTCATGCAAGTCCAGCAGAGCAGATGCTTACAGATGATGCCTCTCGGAGTGTTGACTTCTAAGATTATGTTTACCATCTTTCCATTGATGTTTCTATGCCACAAAACATTTCTTTGACATTGTTCCTAGTCCTTAGACTGGGTTGTTACTAGCTATTGAGCTTTCCCCCCTGAGGAATACATGCTCATTATAGAAAACTAGAAAAAAAAAAAGCATGCAAAAGACTGAGAGACCAATCATAATCCCATCATTCTGAGGCCTCTACAGTGGGCCCAGTCATAATGGTCAGCACCTCAGAACCTCTGCAGTGAGTGGTTGTCATTGGGGGAGATAAATGGGGCCAGGAGGACATGGCATGGCCACCGAACTGGCATCAGTAATTCTGTGTTCTTGGCAGCAACAACACAAGCCCCAAGGACAGCAAGGAGGTCTTTGAAAACTCATGCCAGAGCTAAAGGTTACTATTTAGGGATTCTCTCTCTCTCTCTCTCTCTCTCTCCTACTATTCTTTTTTCCAGGTGCCATCTCAATCTAATCATGGGTATAAATTCACTAATTAAGCTACACTTGTATAATGCAGCCCTGACTGTACATTTCATTCTGCTCTGTACTGATACGATTTGTGACTCTGGGCACTGTGTCTTCTCCATACTTGAACATCCTCATCTACAAAATGAGGATGGTGATAACGTTTTACCTCATGGTATATTAACGGTGACAAAGAAGCTGCAAAGCGATTTGCAAACATGAAATGTCTATGAATTATGCACTGTTCAAATTACCCGTTATCGGCAGCGTAGCCACTAAAATGGAATGGTTCCATCCAGGCTCTGCCAAGTGCTATAATGTGGAGGGGGGGGGGGCATCTTGGTTGCTGACTAGAGTGTAGCTGTCCAACTGGAGCACATGGGGTTCACTCCTCCCTTCAAACCCTCTGGAGGAATTGCCTCCTTCATATTCTTCACCCATTGCCAGACTCACTTCCTTTTCTCCAAGGCCAGTTTAGCAAAGTGCACGCTCATTCCTGTTATTACCAGAAGTGATGGAGCGAAGAGACCATGTGGAAGCTAAGAGCATACATAGATGGCTGTAGCAGTTCACCTCTAAAGCAGGTGTGGAGTTAATGCTGTTTGTTTGTTTGTTTGTTTGTTTGAACAGTTCTAGTATCATTCCTAGCTGTACATGTTCATGTTGGGGAAAAGTCAAATTCTTAAAGCTTTTAAAGTTCCCTCATGTTTAGAGTGAGGATAGAGTGAGAGCCCGCTTCCTCTTGTCAGGCTGCAACGCTAATAACTTCTGAGTTCTGATAGGAGGTCCTCTGAATGGTATATCCAGTTGGGATATTGCCCAGTATGATCTTGCTTGGATCCTGGATTCTAAAGGGGAAAAGAACAGATTCCCCAAAAGAATCCCCATGCTTTTCTTCTTCCCTACGTGCACCGAGACTTTCTACCAGAGAATAACAAGTCCTTGCTCTCTGTATGACTAGAGCCCGGCCAAAAGTAAGGGTAATGGTATGCCTGCAAGGGTGGCTTGTTCAGGGCCAAGAAACAGAAACTGGGTCCCAGTCTAGGCATCACCCAGCTGCAGCTCAGCCTGGCATCTCCCTGACACATGCCAGCCTACTACTCTTCATGCCTAAGGCCTGTTGTGACTCCCCAGGGAAACAACCCTGTGTCCCCCATTTTTCTCCCCTGGGCCCCAAGCTTTTTCTTTCCTCTCTGGGTGGCCCATAGGCCCCTTCTCATTTGTATGTACTGGTATGTCTGCATTATGAGTGTGCCGATGCCTTCACACAGAGATTTCACAGAACCACTCTTGTGCCCCTTCCCTGCCCCATCCCACTGCCCACGGTGTGACTGTTTTGCTATTCAAGACTATCTGTAAAAATGTACAAATAAAAGTGAAAGCTGGAAATAAAGGGGAGGGGTATTGCAACTACTCAAATGCTGAATAGAGCCCTCAGTTTTCTGAGGGCTTGTGAGGACTGCCCTAGAATCCTGACTCTGGTGGCACTTGAAGGGAGGGATACCTGTCACAGGAGAGTGTTCTGGTTGTTTCCCTGGTGGTTGCTCATGCTTGCTTAGTACTCTCTGTTCTGAAGACGTTTGCCTTTAAAGTTAAGTCACTCTCCCCCTAAATAAAAGCATTATCATCAAAGTTAGAAGAGTGAAGGTCATAGCCGACATCAACCCAAAGACCTGACCTGGGGTGACATTAGGGACTTTGTTAATAGAGCACCTGGAACCTTGGGTGAATCTTGTGACCTCACCATGTATCCATGTCCTCTCAGTCTCACAGGGAGCAGGGTGACATTGGGGACTCATGGGACACCAGGTCTCCCCCGTCCATTCTGCTGCTGTTTGTACCCTTGCTGGCTGTTGCAGGCTGACCGAGCTGAGGCAAATCAGGAGGCAAATGCTTTCTCCCTGTTGCTCTTGGCCCAAGCTGATATCCCTCGCAAAGTCACCTCAAGCCAGCAGCCAGTTAGTGTGCAGAGTCCAAAGCCTTTTATCTACCTGTTCAGTCCCAGATGCCTTGTCCAACCCACTTTGATGATCTCGTCTTGCTCTCTCTGCTGATAGAGCATTGCCTCGTAGGACTGGGGCGGGAGAAAGAGCATGAAAGGACATGGTGCGAGTGAATTGCTTTACCAACTGTGGCTTGCTCTACAAATGCAGCTTACTGTGAGAAGACGCAGACCCTGGCCAGGGGACATTATGAAATGGGAAGGAAAAAAAAAAATAAAGGCGGTTCTGGGGCTGGGGTGGAGGCTGTGGGTAGAAGATGTGCTGAGATCGACTTAGAGGTTAATGAAAACTTTGGGATGAAGAAATTTCTGTGCTTCCAAAATCCCCTCAGCAGAGTGACAGAGAAATATCCCCAAGGCAGTAATCCTGGAGTCGGAGGGATTAGGATAGCACAGGGTATGGATAATCAATCCTGGAGTGCAAGCAGCTGCCAGAGAAGGGTAGTTTTCTCAGAGAGATGCACAGCTTCGGCCTGTGCCAGCACCCCCTCCACTCATGACTATAGACACCTTCAGTCTACAACTTCCCTGTCCCTGATGGACCTTGGTGACCCTCCTTGAGACTTGTACAAGGAAGGTGATTTAGACCACTGCTGTCCAATAAAATTTGATGCGAGATATGTATGCAATTTGAAATATCCCACTAGCTGCATTTTAAAGCACCAACCAAACAGGTGAAATTAATTTCCATACTATATTTTAACCCAGCATATGAAAAATATTAGCACTTCAACATGGGATCAATATAAAAGTTACTGGCATGTTTTATGTTCTGGTTATTTCAAATGAAATCTAAATCTAAGGTGAATTTGACCCCGAGAAAGCATCTCCAACTGGCTCAACCACATTTTTAGTGCTCAAAAGCTGCATCAGGCTTCTGGTACCCGTCTAGGAGAAGCCAGCCTTAGGTCTGTTCAGAGACTGAGCAGGATGCCCTTGCCATGTCACTCACTGTTGCAGATTTCATTATGGGGAACAAAGGCAAAGGCAGCATTTGCTGAGTAGGAAGCAGAGCTAGCTCCACCATGCTGTCTCACCTCTGGAAGTTCTACTTTGCCTGCTTAGTAAGGGGAGAGAGCTGCTGTGAACCAGCCACATGTTATATCTGCCGCAAGAGTCATTAGTGCTATCCCTGGACATGGCCTTGATGACCTGTCAAAACCCTAAGGGGAAAGCAGGCCGTGTGCCCTTCGGCTGTAGGAGCATCAGCCACCACCCATTCTACCCATAGAGATGTCTTTTATCTCATAATAAGGGATAGACAGGCCTCCCCATTGTTAAGAATACACATCTCTCCCACTTCTTAACATCTGGTGGAGTCTCCTGCTAAGAACATCTCACTGATATTTGGAGCTGTTTAATCCATCCTCCAATTTCTTTGATTTTTTTTAATCTTGAATGCTGAATGGAGATATGGGAGAAGAGCAGCAGGCAGACTGTATCTCCTAGGAGGTGGCAGAGACAAGTTCTGTCCTTACACTAGGACTCAGGCCACCATTTCCTACCTCTCCTTTCTGCTTAGAGATCTTCCTTAGGTCTAAATAAGCCTCATTTGTGTGGGAAATAGACAGGTAGTGAGATCTTAGGGCATAGAACAGAGTAAATATAAGCAAGCCTCTGGGCATTTTCTAGTCATTTCAAAGAGCCGGTATGATAAGGCTTGGTTCACTTAAAATCTATCATTCTGGGCCCCATGCTGCCGAGCAGGGGAAAGGGAGCTGATTTGGTGAGTATGTTTTATATGTGGTCATTAGACAGGGACCATCGCCGGCAAACCTCTCAAACACCTGGAGTGTTTATGGTCCGACAGATTATTGCTCAGTCAATATAAATTTATTTACCTTCACTCTAATTTGCATAGTGCTTTCTGATTGGTTAGACACGGTGTGGTGTATACTGCAGGATTCTAACAACGACTCTCCCCTTGGAGGTAGCAATTCCTGTGGTTATTGGTGCTAAAAATAAGATTAAATATTATGTTAATTTGTTCTGATATGATGTGAATAAATGTATTGTTTAATCTTAACAAGAATGCTACATCTTATCAGATCTATTGTACTGTCTGTTTCTTCTCATAATTAATTAATTACAGGAAAGGTGATCCAAACCAGATCTCAAAACTCTTGTGATATTCTAAGAGGAACTTAACAGGGAAGTGGGAGGGGGGGAATGAAAAGGAAAATTACCAGGTTCCTGTGACTTTGAAAGGACTGAGGAAGCAGAGAGCGTTTGGGGACTTCACTGAAACTGACTGCATCTTGCAATTTTCTTTTTCAAATTGGCAGAAATATTGTTATTTCCATCGATTGAAGAAAAAAAGTGTCTGGTAATTAATTAAATGACTTGTTAATGGAAAAAATAAAAATAAATAACCTGTCAGTTGTGGAATGTAAACTGATTAAACAATTAAATAAAGAAGACCATGTTGTGTGTTTTAAGAAGCCGTGTCTGCTCTCTGTTTGGGGGATGGGTGGGAGTGGGGAGGGTACAGGCTGCAGTATTTCCTGGAGAATGGTGTTCCCTGGGGTTGTGTAGAGAAATAAATTGTACGATTCTTACACAGCTAGCTGAAAACGCTAATCCAGAAGGAAACTGACAATAGACATTTCAATAATGTGCTGGCCAAAGGTCTATGCTTTGTGGATTGGGGCAGAGACAAAAATGTGCAGATGGAGTGAAAGAGAAACAAGAGGAAATTTGTTTTGTTTTGTTTTGTTTTTTTCTGCCATCACAGACATCAAGAACAAGAAATTCATAGGCATCATGAGATGTTGCGGTTGCTAGTTACATTCCAGCCCCTTGACCAATTTCCTAGCTACCAGCAAAGAGGAAAACTTCTTAGTCTTCCCTAGCTTGGTCCCTAACTTAAAGTCACATTTCCTCTCTACCCACCTACTCCTCAAAAGCTTCTGGCACGTGTATGACAAGGAATGCTGGGAGAAAGAAAGGTTAATTGGAGGTGAGTGCTTTAAAAACGAGTCTTATTTCTCCATCAATATCTCTAGGTTTAAAGGAGGAAACTGGCTTTGTGTGATATAAGCGGAAAATGAGTTTCCTGAAAAGACATGGCTAGGTAGAAGCCTGGGTAGTCAGACTCCCATCCTGGTGTTATCTGGACCACTGGGACACAGTTGTTGGACTCTGGACTTCAGAGATTGCCCTGCTGTTCTTCCTGCTTCTTCTGCCCTGGGGATGCATGGCTACCCCTGTCCCCACCTCCCCTAGAGTCCTCATGTCACTGCTTTGTGAAGACAGTAGCTTTTGATTTATAATCCCAGGTGGGTGCGCCGTGGAAGGAAGGTAGGAAAAGTATACATCCTTTTCAGCTTCTCTCTTAGGTGGGTAGCTCACACTGTCACTCAAATCACTGAAGTAGACTATTCCTCGGACAGAGCTGCTAAGTGGCCAAAGAGCAAAAGAGGCCCCTTAGAGCGGGACACTTCAGGAAGAAGGAGGATTCCTGAGTGAGTGGTACCTCACTGTGTCTCTGTAGCACACACCGAGTCTCCAAGTGGCTGTCATACAAATCATGACCTTTGTGATAGCAGCCTAGATAGATCGCCTTCTAGATAGAAGCTAGAAGCTTCTGTGGGGAGATATGTTCAATGCTGGACACTGTGAAAGACTCAGGGTTACTCATTACATAGCTGCACACATCTAGTCTGATTTAAAAAAGAAAAAGTCATGGATTGATTTTTAAAGAAGGCATCTTGAGGGTAATAAAAATAAACAGAAAAAAATTCAAAAATAAGTGCCCGTCAGAGGAGGGTGACATGTCATAGATGTGGGGAAGATATCCTGAGTGCAGAAACACCGGAAGAAACCATAGACCAGATTTCTCAAGTGGCATTCCCCCAACTCATCATAGATGAGATGTCCCTTGGAAGAGAGGCAAAAATGAAAAGATTATTGATCTCAAGTGAACGTCTCTGAGGGAGGCAGGTGGGATTTAAAGGCCTCCTCCTCACTGGGCACAGGTGATGAGGACAGGGAACCTGCATTTACCAGGTCCTGTGACTTCAGCATGGCAGCCAGCATTCTGACCCGAGAGGTGGGTGGTTTCATCAGCAGCTACCTGAGGCAGAATACCCCATGCAGTGCCTAGTAGACTGCCCAGGGGAAGCCTCAAAGAGCATGACACTCTGTTCTCCTTCTTTTTCCAATAAAACACAACTTTGATTTCTGTATCTGTGATGAATTATGCAGTCCACTGGGTTCAAGGGAGAACTGGGTTTGTAGAAGATATGCCTAATCCCACCCCCATCACCTGGGTCCCAGTGCCTCCAGGCACACATATCCATATGGCAAGAGCTGTTAAATCATCGCAGCAAGGCAACTCCAACATCTATAACCAAGTCACAGAATACTCAGTGTGGTCCCTGGAGAGGCCCTCTGGGTAAACTTCCTTCCCTGAATGCTCCTAGCTAAGTCCCTTCCCCAGCCTCATAGCATCATGCTGTGTCTTGTGGTAGTTAGCAAGGATGGAGGAAAGGACCCTCCTAGATAGCAGGAATGTGGGCTTTTCTTCATACTCTGGTGAATACTTACGGACCTGAAAACCACAAGTCTTCCCTCACCCATTCACCCAAGCTGTTCTTCAGTGGTAGTGTTAAACCTTTTTTAGCATTTCTTGGGGAATTCCCCGCCCCCAACCATCCTCTGGTTCAGTGATTTGCTTGGAGGATACAGATTCAAATTAGCAAGGATCAAAGACACGCAGGACAGAGTTCAGGAGAGACCAGGTGCATGCTTCCGCTTTTTCCTGTGGTAGATTTGCACAAACAGCATTTCATTCTCACAACAGTGCTTCGTGACGACATCCAGAAAGCGCTGGCAACCACGCTTTAGCTAAGCTTCCAGGGAGTTGAGTGTTCACTTGGGTAAACGCTTACCGCCTATGAATCTCACCTGACTTGATTATTTTTCTTACTGCTGTGACCAAATACCCAACAAAGGTAACTTAAGGAAGGAAGAGTTGATTTTGGATCACAGTTTCAGAGCACAGCCCATTGGTGAAGGGAATATACGGAGGCAGGACTATGAGGGAGCTGGTCCCATTTCGTCCACAGTCACCGCGCAGAGAAACCAACGCCAGTGCTCAGCTCACGTTCTCTGTTTTATTCACCGTTCTGTCCAGGACTCCAGCCCATTGCAGGGCGCCTCCCACATTCAGAGTGGGTCCTCCTTGCTCTGTCGAGCCTTTCTGGAAACACCTTCGTAGAAGCGCCCAGAGGTATGTTTCCGTGGTGATTCTGATCATGAGTATTAATCATCAATGTCACTTAGTCTCTAGCCCTGTGTGGTAGTTACTTTTCTGTTACTATAATAGAACACCGTGGCCAGAGTCCATTTATGAAAGAAGGGGTTTATTTTCGCTTACAGTTGCAGAGGAACAAGTCCATCATGGTGGGGAGGCATGACAGCAAGCACCAGGCACGATGGCAGGAGATGGCCGTTGAGAGGTCACATCTTCAGTAGCAAACACAAAGAAGAGAGAGAGAGAGAGAACTGGAAGCAGGATGAGGCTATAAACTCCCAAAGCCTGCCTCCAATGATGTACTTCCTGCAGCAAGGCTGCAGCTTTCTAGAGACACTGGTTTAAAAAGACACCTTAGCAAGGGATGCTGAAAGTCCAGTAGTGTTACTAGATATGGGGGCGGGAGCAAGAGGAAGTTGGATTTGATCAGCACATGCTATATGGAGGCCACACAGAACTCCATCAGCATGTATAGTTAATGCATGTTAATCAAAAGCAAAAAATAAAAAAGATACTTGGTTTATGTGGTGGCTTGAATGAGAATACCCCCCACCACCCTGCCCATGCTTAATCCCCACTTGGTGAACTGTTTGGGAAGAATTAGGAGGTGTGGTCTTGTTGGAGTAGGTGTGGCCTTGTTGAAGGAGCTGTCTAAGCCTATGGGGAACATTCTCGGTCAAACTACCCCACCCAGCCAGAGGTAAAACTGGTAACCCACAGTCAAGGTCTCTACCATCCACCACAATATTGCATAAATGATCTCTTGTGACTCAAGATAAGCCAGGTAAAAGAAGTCATTGTCATCAGATAGGATATTCTAAGGGCTTAGAGGTTGTTTCCCAGGAGCCGGCCAAAGGCCAGACCTTTTATTGGAATGTGCAGTGTTTGGTCAACTCCAGCCTGCTACCTCAACCTTTTACTGCACATTAAGCTTTGAGATAAGTTAGAACAAACAGAACATATTTCCTGTCCACGTTAAAGCTCATCCTCAGGTATTCAAATTCCCTCTTCTTTGCCTTCTACAGACCAACCTAGCTTTGGCCGCCTTCCTCTGCTGCAGACCAACCTAGCCTTGGCCTTCTTCATCTGCTGCAGACCAGCCTAGCCTTGGCCTTCTTCATCTGCTGCAGACCAGCCTAGCCTTGGCCTTCTTCATCTGCTGCAGACCAACCTAGCCTTGGCCTTCTTCCTCTGCTGCAGACCAGCCTAGCCTTGGCCTTCTTCGTGGACCAATAGCTTGAAGTTCTCTAAGTGTCTCCTTTCTATCGGCTTCTTCTCAGGTGGTTCCCCTGGTCACAGGATGCTGGAGTAGGAGAACGGATATGCAAAGAGCACAGAAGCATGAGTGTTTAGGCAGATTTGACTTTGAATTCCTCTCCATACAAACTAGATCATGCAGCCTCCTTAACCTGTGTCCCTATAAAATGGGTATAGCAACATCTACCTCCCAGAATAGTGTAGAAAATGGAAGAGAGAGTACCTGGCCCAGAATTGTTTCTCAGCACCTTCCAGCCCCCTCTCACCTCCTCTGTGCTATGGGTCCTTTTTCTTTATTGTGCATATACCTAAGAAGACTTTCTGAACTGAAGTTTGCTCACGGTTCAGCATCCCACAGATATCCTTTTCTCACTACGTCAGAAGCTGATGAACAGGGGCTTGAGAAATGGCTCAGCAATTAAGAGCACTTATCTTCTGGCTCTTGCAGAGGACTCAGGCTTAGTTTCCAGAACCCACACCAGGCAGCTCATAACCATCTGCAATTCCAATTCCAGAGGATGTAACACCTTTTTCTGGCCTCTATAGGTACTTGGACACATATGGTGCACATAAACTCATGCACACACACACACACACACACACACACACACACACACACACACACAAAAATATTTTTTAAAAAACTGATGTGCAGTGGATACATGGATAATTTAATGTACACATATTTCCTGTAGTCAGCCATTGAAGTCTTTGCAACTGTCCTATACAGACACACAATGATGTATAATAAATATGTTCTGAATTGTTTTTAATCCAGGAGACAAAAAGGTTGATATTGAAAATTGTCTTCCCTCTGTGGAGGTCTTCCTTTTCTGGGAGTGACAGAAGTGCTCTAGGACCTTGCTCTTCTGAGAGTGCTTCTCGGCTGGCTTGTTAGCACCATGAGGGAACTCACTAGCAATGTGA